AATCTGAGATCGCAAACAAAATGAAGAATTTAAAGGTGACATATTATGCCCCTTTTCACAAGATGTTATAAATATATGGCGTCCCAGAATGTGTAAAATACCAGATCATTTATTATAACCATAGGCATAATTTGCGGCTGGGACGGGTGGGACATGTCCCCACCACTTTAGACACAAACGTGTCCCTGCTTGATATACAACCACTGATAAACATAATCGGTTTTAATGAGGAAAAAAAAACTATACGAGTGGGGATTAGAACCCATAACCTCTGACACGCTTGCCAAAAGTTCTGCCACTGGACCATTAAAACAATAGTCGGATTTATGTATTTCTTCATGTGAAAATCTTCGGCACCAACACATATTAGACCTCATTAAACGACAAATTAAACACAATGTAGGCTACTATTTAAATCGATTGCTGGACGTTTGTTATTGTACATATGTACATCTGATTTATGATTTAGCATTGTATTAGCAATGTTTCGTAGTGTGTTTGTGTTGCGCTGGTCAGTGGAGGGGACGCAATATTTACTGCATGTTTGCTAAACAGTTTTTAGTCAATATAAAACAAACTCATGCACGCGTAAACGAACATGTGACTCGCATTGAAACATTTAGGGTTCAAATAAACTTTCAGAATCTGAAATCAGGCGTTCATTCGGACTGAATGTAAACAAACCTACAGAGAAGCATCGCCAAACCCTTAGCAACAGCATCGCCAAACCCTTAGCAACAGCATCGCCAAAGCCTTAGCAACAGCATCGCCAAACCCTTAGCAACAGCATCGCCAAACAATGAGCAACAGCATCACCAAACCCTTAGCAACAGCATCGCCAAACCCTTAGCAACAGCATCGCCAAACCCTTAGCAACAGCATCGCCAAACCCTTAGCAACAGCATCGCCAAAGCCTTAGCAACAGCATCGCCAAACCCTTAGCAACAGCATCGCCAAACCCTTAGCAACAGCATCGCCAAAGCCTTAGCAACAGCATCGCCAAACCCTTAGCAACAGCATCGCCAAACAATGAGCAACAGCATCACCAAACCCTTAGCAACAGCATCGCCAAACCCTTAGCAACAGCATCGCCAAACCCTTAGCAACGGCATCGCCAAACCCTTAGCAACGGCATCGCCAAACCCTTAGCAACGGCATCTCCAAACCCTTAGCAACAGCATCGCCAAACCCTTCGCAACTGCATCATCAAACCCTTAGCAACAGCATCGCCAAACCCTTAGCAACAGCATCACCATACCCTTAGCAACTACATCGCCAACCCCTTAGCAACAGCATCACCAAACCCTTAGCAACTACATCGCCAAACCCTAAGCAACTACATCGCTAAACCCTTAGCAAACCCTGAGACTGAGCTGAGACTGACACTGAGTTGAGACTGAGCTTGAGACTGAGCTGAGACTGACACTGAGCTGAGACTGAGCTGATACTGATACTGACACTGAGCTGAGACTGAGACTGAGTTGAGACTGAGCTTGAGACTGAGCTGAGACTGACACTGAGCTGAGACTGAGCTGATACTGATACTGACACTGAGCTGAGACTGAGCTTGAGCTTGAGACGGTGCTGAGACTGAGCTGAGACTTTGCTTGAGACTGAGCTGAGACTGAGCTTGAGACTGAACTGAGACTGAGTCTGAGACTGAGCTTGAGCTTGAGCTTGAGACTGAACTGAGACTGAGACTGAGACTGAGCTGAGATTGAGACTGAACTTGAGACTGAGACTGTGACTGTGACTGAGCTTGAGCTTGAGCTTGAGCTTGAGCTTGAGCTTGAGCTTGAGACTGAGCTGAGACTGAGACTGAGCTGAGACTGAGACTGAGCTTGAGACTGAGCTGAGACTGAGCTGAGACTGAGCTTGAGACTGAGCTGAGACTGAGCTTGAGACTGAACTGAGACTGAGACTGAGACTGAGCTTGAGCTTGAGCTTGAGCTTGAGCTTGAGACTGAGACTGAGACTGAGACTGAGCTGAGACTGAGCTGAGACTGAGCTTGAGACTGAACTGAGACTGAGACTGAGACTGAGCTTGAGACTGAGACTGAGACTGAGCTGAGACTGAGCTGAGACTGAGCTTGAGACTGAGACTGAGACTGAGACTGAGACTGAGCTGAGACTGAGCTGAGAATGAGACTGAGAATGAGACTGAGACTGAGACTGAGACTGAGCTGAGACTGAGACTGAGACTGAGCTAAGACTGACACTGACACTGAGACTGAGACTGAGACTGAGACTGAGCTGAGACTGAGCTGAGACTGAGACACACAGGAGTGGGAGTCAGTTCTGATCCAACAGCAGCTGTACAAGAGCATCACCATGGCCACGGGCCAATCCATCACACACACACACACACACACTCACTCACTCACTCACTCACTCTCTCACACTCACTCGCTCACACACACACAGTAATCTTCTGCACACATCTAAAAGAGGCCCTACATGGTTGTTTCCCACTTCTGTTTCATGCAGATCTTGTTCTAATCGAGCCTCAAACGCTTTCTGAGAACTGAGCCGAACGCTGGTCTCTGCACACACACACACACACACACACACACTCTCTCTCTCTCTCTCTCTCTCTCTGACAGTAATAGCTGCCGTTTGAAAGCGTTATCTGCTGTAATTCCTGGTGTAGGTGGGTATTACTGTAATTAGATGTCAATAGAGACATGCATGTTTGAGACACTGAAACACAGAAGCCAAGCGGCCTCATTTCCACACTCTGATTTAAACCATGTGGATTTGGAGACTTTGTACATTTTTAGTTCAGATTAAAAACGGTAAGTACTTGGAAAGAAACCGGTTTTCTGAGCGTGTGTTTATGCCCGCGGGAAACCGTCAGCCAGACTTCTGTGTGATCTGCGTTACACACTCACTTCTTTGGTCATGCTTGACTTACTGCTCTATATCTAGCATGTGTAAATGTTAAAGATTATATAAATTAAATATACATTTAATGAGCTATAAATTATACACTCAGTCTATTCCAGACTAAAGTTTCCTGGCCTGAGGAGTCATGACCCACAGTCTGGAGATCTGCAGATCAGGGAAGAAAACTAAAGCTTTTCTGATGCTTTACTGCCCTCTTGTGGAGCAACAGACCGTCATTATCACATCAGTCCTCATTATGAAGGGTCACACTCATTTCAGGATTTTTATCAAGTGTATTAAAGCCTTTCAGAAATACTGCATGCAAACTTATATTTTAACCATCTTTGGAAATGCTGATACTGTCAAACTGATTTGTGCTCAAACAGGAGACACTTACAATCATGAGACAAACTGCAAGAGAATTATGCATTCACACACACACACACACACACACACACACACACACGTACCGTGTACATACATAAGCGTAAACGCTGACATACCTAATGGATGTATTAATTCAGACAGGTTCACACTAGTTCCATGTGAGTAAACAAAGCGTCTGCTGTGTGTCACAGGCATCATAACACACAGGTTTCCTGTTCTAGTGTGTGTGTGTGTGTGTGTGTGTGTGTGTGTGTGTTTCCTGTTTACACCACAAACACACTGTGTGTGATGCAGAACCGAACACAGCACAACACAACCGGTTATTCAGGCAGGATTTATCCAAAGGATGTTAAAGGCCGATGAGATCAGCTCTCAGAACCATCTGTGGACGAAACTGGTCCAGTGGAAACATGTCGAAACATTTCCAGTTCATCAGAGGAGATTCACTGCAAAACAACTAAACTGAACACTTCTGCTTCAAGTTTTCCACTGATATACAGTGTAACTTGTATGGCTGTATTGTTTAAAGACTCCTCTCATTACTAAACACACTACTCAGAGTAGATAAATGAGGTTTGCAGAGGAAACCGTTCCTGTCAATCATCTGTCAGAATGGCGTCACCTCAAGCCCTGGATCGGGACGCCCAGATGAACACATGATGATAATGTCGAAGCGGGTCAATAATATATCCATGTGCTTCATATGGACTCACAGAGATATGGTTTTATTTTGTTTTATTTTCTAAACATCTGGATGGAATGAGAATTGAGTGTCTCTTTAAGACAGCGAGTGAAGAGAGAGAGACTTGGAGAGTTAGCCAAAATATTAATGAAATTCATATTATTAAGTGTCTGAAAACAAGAGGGTAATTTATAAATGTGTGACAGTGATGGAGTTGGATGGGGCTCTTCATTCATAACCTCTTCATAAACCCCTTTATTTACAGTCTACATGTGATTTTTCCATTGACTTACTATATTGGAAATTGTTTGTTGAGTCTGGAAAGATTATAACGTGTCATTAATTATCAATACTATTTTAAGATATCCAGGGTATATAATTTGTGTATCTGAGCATAATTGTTTAGCATATAAAAATTAAACATACTGTAAAGTTTTCTTAGTTCGATCAATATTAATTTACACCTCAGTCTTCACGGGCTACAGCAT